TAAACCCTAAACCCTAAACATTGGTCTCTAGAGGCTCTAGAAGTTCGGAGCTTGGGGTTTGCAGCCGTCGTAACTTGAGTAGCGTCTAGAACGTGCGGGCTGAGCGGCCCAAGGATTAGGGCTGAGGGGTGTACTGCTTTATGTAATATAACGGCTCGGGCTATATTATGGCTTTAGACTTCGGAGTTCGGCTGTTAAGTGTGCGGGGTTTTAGGGCTTCCGGCTTAGGGAGTCGTGTAGAACAACGAACCTGAGAAACTCTGTTCACAGTACGCTCACGACCCTTTAATATCCATCATGGCGCTTAGAACTTAGAACCCCTCCCAAAAGATGATCTCTTCAGAACCCAATAACAATACCAAGAAAACCCCAAAAAGGTCAGGCCCTGAGGCCCTAGCTGACTCACGAACCATATCCACACGGCAAGGACATGACGCACTTCTGGTACTGATGACTCTTCACGGCGCTGTGTCAGAACCCTAAACCCCATCGCCCCTAGACCCTAAACCCTAAACCCACAGCGACCTGGTGCCGAATAGCCGTCGAAGAAGATCCGGTCGGCTTTGAACCTTCGGATCTTCTTGACAAGGTGGTAAAAAGGGTCTTTCTGCTTGGAAAGTTTAAAACAAAACGTCTTATAGGGCTTTGGGATTCGGGCTTAGGGTTGTCTTATAAGGTGTTATGGGGCTTTAGGGATATATCCGGTCATGCAGGCCGCTGACTACTCCCTCCTGCAGGAACCTTGATATTCGCATCCCGATAGATATGCAGCACGATCCTTAAGGGTCTAATGTAGGGGCCTTAATAATTAGGAAAGGTTTTCGGGCCCATTATACTATAATTATAATAAGGATAGTGTTGAGGCCCCTACGTTGCATTGAGGGCCTCTTTTGCATACTTTTCCGACTGTCCAGGCTTAGAGGAGGGTGTTTTGGTGCCTCCGCGGGCCAGCGTCCGCGAGATGCGTGAAGCCGGAAAACCAGAGAGGCGTTAGGGTAATATAGGGCCGTTAAAAATTAGGATAGGGTTTGGGGTATATTGTACTCAAATAAGTAACCCCGAAAACCCTAGTCAAATTATTAAGGCCCCTATATTATGAATTGGGCTGTTACTGCCAGTCTCCCGATACCAGCTACCCAAGTACACACTCACCAACATTCCTAAGGAGCACTACACACACTCAGCAAAATCCCAACTCTATGAAGCATGTTTGATCTGGAGGTCAGCTCTCAAAGTGGTTTAGGGTTTAGGGTGGTGGATTTGAGCAAAATATTCGAAACCCCACGACGACAACGCGAGGACGACAATGGCGACCAACACGACCACGACAGCCAGGAGACCACGAGACCACCAAGAGACCATTAGGGTTTAGGGTTTAGGGACCAGCAGACCACCAGGACATGCTGTCTCCCAGGTACTGGCTCTAGGACTGCGGCGACAATCGTTCCCCCCAAGTGCAGGTACCGGCAGTCATACCCCACTGTTCTGAATGATCAAGCCGCAATGCCAATGCCGACACCTAAACCCTAAACCTTAAACCTTAAAACCAACCCTTGACGAGAGCCCTGAACCGAATAACAAAGAAAGTCGTCCTCCGAAGTCCTACAACAAGGAAACCACATAAGGAACCCGGATTACCCTAAGTATCTTGAGGGTTTAGGGTTTAGGGTCTTGAGGGATTCTTTGGTAAAATTGTCACATATAGTCACCATCAAAAATTCAAGGAATGACAAAGGCCGCCGGGATACCATTCTGGAAGGTTGTCGCTCTCATTCCGGACCGCGAGGAGGAACTTCCACCCCTCCAGTTTCAGGCTCTGGTCCTCCCAGATGATGTTATATAGGGGCCTCAATAATTAGAGTAGGGTTTTGGGTTTAGGGTTTTTGTTGGGTGGTTTAGGGTTCAGGGTTTTGGTGATACAGGGGCCTTAATACTTTGAATAGGTTTCCTTTACAGGGTTACTACGACTGTAAGGGTTCTATGAGGCTTGAGTATAGGGGCCTCAACAGTTAGAAGAGGGTTTTGGGGGGCCCATTATACCATGTTTATGAATCAGGAATCCCAAAAAATGAGTGTGGTAAACCCTAAACCCCAAACCCTAAATTGGCAATCAACAAGGCCCCCCCAAAAGCGTGCCTTCATGGCTCTACGTTCCCCTGCTTCAGAACTCCCTAGCAAGGAGACCGCTCTGTATTTTCAATGAATCTTCCTTTATTGACGGTTTAGGGTTTGGGGTTTAGGGCTCTTGAAATGGAGTCGGCGCCAGAAGGAAACTCAATGATATTCATATCGGTCGTGTGACACAAATTAGGCACGCCTGCATCCGGTCGCACTTGGTCTGAAGAAGACAAGAGACCCTCAGGACCCTAAATTTGCGTCCTCCCAGCGGCGATAATCCTGGAAGTACGCGCAGTTCCTCACTCGGGTGTTGGGGGCTGCCGAAAATCAGCTTCAATGGTTTGGCGCTCCGGGTTTGGAGTTTCGGCCGGGGTGACGGGTTTGGGGGTTGGGTTTAGGGTTTAGGGTTTAGGGTTTGTGGGATCAAGCATGAACAGAACATCATGCAATAATGCAGATGGCAGTAACCCGCACCTTTCCCTCAAGGACTTTCAGAGCCTAATTGAGACCCAGGCTTCCTGTTCTTCAGCCAGATGGGCGGTTCTCTAAATTAGGGTCCCTTTTCAGGTGTAGTACCCACGCCCTTATACACAGGACTCTACAAAGGGGCCCTAATACAGAGAACTACTTAGATCGCAAACTTCAGGAACATTGTAATCTACGGACCGCCTTCTAGTCATATCTAGGAGTTAGGATTAGGGGGAATCTAGACCCTCTCAACAAGGTTCCGTTTCAGAGAGCCACAAGTAGGGCTAGGAAGAGTCCCCTTTAAGGGGTCTCCCTGATACCACCCAGGAATAGTTCAAGAGAAGATTGCCACTTCTGGAGCACACTGGCAAAACACGACAACGAAAAGAGTGGCGACTCGAACCGTTCGGCGATGAGCCATCAAGCTGGCGCAGCATTCTCTTACAACGATTCCAGCGTACCCTACACCCTACACCTAAACCCTAAAGCTAATTCTAAGCCCTAAACCCTAAACCCTGAAGCTAATTCTAAACCCTACATCTGAACCTACAGCTAGAGTCCCGAACTCCTTTGCCCTCTTTGCCCAGTCTCCCGGCGCCACCCTGGTCGTGGTAGGAACCGTGGCTGTCCTAGCCGCAGACGGTCGTCCAAAAGAGAAGCGAACAGAGGGAGAGAGAAGGAGAGACACAAAGAGAGAGAGAGAGAGAGAGAGAGAGAGAGAGAGTCGTCAAACGACGGGAGTGTTGAGGGCGTCCTGAAATTCAGATGTTGGGATTCAATCCAAAGCATGAGGCCCAATAAGCAGCATGGGATGAACATCTAGTGCTTCACGGGCTACTCGAGTAGGCGGTTCCGGTCTGCGGGCTTTGCTGTTTAATGGCTCCGAACTTTAAAATCAAGCGCTCTCGCTTCAAGTCCTGTCGGTTTGCTTCCCTTTTGCATCCAGGCCTATGGAACCCTTAAACCCTAAACTCGGAGTGCTTACATCCAGCTGCAAAGTTTCAGGCCCAGTAAGCGTGTTCGAAGCAGCGGAAGAGTAGGTTTGGGGTTTAGGTTCTTACCCCAGGGCAGACCTCGAACCCGGACCATCGCAACTTTAATAGCATAGAGCCCTCACACTACCCCTTTCAACAGAACCCTCAGAAATGTTCGGGCAGTCCGACCCCACGTAGACGACGGGATGCTCCGTGTCTTCGACGAGCTCGAACTTAGGCCAGTGCAGGACTCGTCGGTTTGGGTTTCCTTCAAGCGTTCCTTTACGGGTCCCTTTCAGGGTTTAGGGTTTGAGGTTTAAGGTTTAAGGTTTAGGGTTTAGGGGTTTAGGGGGTTTATGTAGGGTTTGGAGGCCTTCATACTCAGAATAGCGTTTTGCGGCACCCTCGGAGCTCTCATCCCCAAAGACCCCCCGAGACTTCCCGGTGCTGCCCAGGGGACGCTTCCTCGGGCTCTGGTGTAGGAGCCGCTGTGCTGATGGAACCGAACCCGTTCCACGCGGTCGCTCCTTGCGGGTCTGGGCGTTACGGCAGTTTTGATTTGTGGTTACGGGTCATAGCTAAGGTGCCCCTGCGGCTGCTGCTTGTGCCTCCAGCGTCAACCGACGGCAAAAGCAGCAACAACAGACACAAGCACCAGGGGATGATAGCAAGTTGAAGACAAGGACAGAAAGAGAAGGAGAAGAATAAGAAGATGTTGACAGCAAGTCGTCAAGGTCCTGATATACACGCCCACCGTCTCCCAGTCGCCCTTGTGCGCGCCGTACTCTTCATCATGGACAGGGCCCAAGTCGATCTGGAGACAGGCCGGCTGATGGCTGTACCTGCAGTTCTCGCTGCTCAACAAACTTCAAAACCTCAAGCTCTGTACTGAGACTGGGATTTAGGATTTGGCCAAATGGGCGAAAACAAGAGCAAGTCTTGATAGATCTCCGGGGCGCCAGATGTGGTAATGGATGGCGATGGAGGCGTTTGCACATTCTTCGTATTGGTAGAACCTCAAACAAGCGAACCGGCCCAGGCAATGCATGATGTGATGCGGATCCTGCTGCTGGTGGCGATGATCACCATGATGATGGTGATCGTGATCGTGATCTCAATGGTTGATAGTGATGGTGAGCGTGAACGTGATGGCGACGGCCATGGTGGAGGTGACGGCAGCGGTGGTGATGATGATGCTGAGGAGGAGGAGGAGGAGGAGGCGGAGGAGGAGAAGGAGGAGGATGGCGATGATGATGGTGATGGTGATGGTGATGGTGGTGATGATGATGATGATGATTATGATGATGAGGATAACGATGATGATGTGGGGGAGGGTGAGTGGTGGCGACGGCGGCGGCAGCGGTGGTGGTGGTGGCTGCTGTGGCGGTGACGCTATCGGTGATGGTGACGGGTGCGGGTGCTGGTGCTGGAGATGGTGATGGTAAGGGTCCTGACAAAGATGCCCATTGTATGCCGTATTGTGGTGACTGCGGTGATGATGGTGAAGATGAGGGTGATGTGATGACAAAATGCCGAATATGACAGTGATGATGGTAAAAACGATGGCGATGGCAGGGATGATAGACATCGTTATGGCATAGCGAAGCTGGGCACCATCCTGATCCAAGTGGTGATGGTGACATAGACCGTGACAATGATAATGATCATGGTCATCATCACAACCGCCATCAAGTTCATGGCATCGATGGATCTCAAGGATAATGCGGCAATCTTGGTCACGACACTGATGATAACGATTCAGATGAGCATGAACGGCGAAGTCAAAGAACACGCTGCTGCGCCTGGTAATGGCTGATTAAGAAGAAAAGAGGAGGGGGAGGACGAGAAAGAGGAGGAGGAGGAGGGACAGGCGACAATGATGACGATCACGACGACGACAACGATGACAGTCGGATTGACCCTTAGCCTGACCTGAACCCTGAGCCCGTGCACTTTACACATGACAGTACAGCGTGTGGAGGGCGGTCATGGAATCTGGGATGTCACGTTGTTGGCTTCACAGCCTCCGGAGAATCAGCCCAGTAACATGGGCACCTCACCTTGCTCCAGCTTGGTGATGTCCTGGGTGTCGATTGCAACAATCCCCAAAACTGTTTGTTCATAATTAATGCTGTATACCAAACAATACGGGAAAATCAACAATTATCCCAAATCGATACCTAGTGACCTAGTACCCTAAACACTAAACCCCAAACCCTAACGACCTAGTGTCCGACTCGCAGATGATGTCCGTGTTGTTTTGCTTCCGCTGCCAGTAAACCGTCTCAGGATGTCCCGGCAGGCATCTCGCCTTGCCAGCGCCCACTTCGCCCGACCCTCTGACTTAGAGTCGAGGCTTTTGGGGCTTTTGGGGCTCATGGTTTTGGAGGTTAAGATTTTGGGGTTTTGGGGCTCATGGGTTTGGAGGGAAAGATTTTGGGGTTTTGGGGTTCATGGTTTTGGAGGTTAGGGTTTTGGGGTTTTTGGGGTTCATGGTTTTGGAGGTTAGGATTTTGGTACTTGTGGGGTTCATGGTTTTGGAGGCTAGGGTTTTGGGGTTTTCGGGTTTTGGGGATTTAAGGCTTAGGGTCTAGGGTTTAGGGCACCAGTTTACGCGCTCCTAAATCATAGGTGGGAGCCTCTCACGACCTCCGTTCGTCTTGCGCGTATTGCTGCAACTGCTACTGGCATGGTGGTCCTCATGATTATCTGGGTTGTAGTTCTGGGGCCCTGAAAAATATTTATGAATAGGTACCTCTATAGAAACCATACGGGAAATGTTATATAAAGTTTCCCACATTGCCACCTAGTTATTCTCCTTCTTGCTGCTGGCTGCTGGGGCCGACTTGCGATTCCTGCTGTTGCCCCTGCTATGAACCATTCTTACTATAAGGTCTCGGATACTTCTTGTGTTTCTCATTAGAAACCGTGTTGTCACTGTCAGCATTATTGCAATCATAGTTGCGCTGCCATCATAAAGAGGATCACTGCATGCAGTTTTTGCAGTAGCTACAGCTATCCTGATGCCATTCGCATTGCAGACTCCCGAAGATCAATTAAACTTCCAAGGGAGTAGTAAGACGGACAAAGGAGCGAATTTTCGTAGCAATGAAACTCTGTCTACTCAGAACATAGAGTGGACCCCCAAGCCCTACCAGCCAAAACCAAAAGCCCGATATAGCCTAGATCAGCCCCAAAACATGTAACCGAAGTGCCCTAGTCCTAAACCCTAACTCCCAAGCCCAAAACCAGACCCCAAGTACTCGATTAAACAGGGACCCTGCCTCCGTGATGGTGGCTTTGTCCAATCGCAAAACCGGCGCGAACTGCGTGGCCATGTTCTGAGGCCATAGAGGCGGAACCGAGACACTTTTTAGGCCAATTCGTTAAAGGCGTTCCTTTTAGGCCAATTCGTTAAAGGCGTTCCTTTTAGGCCAATTCGTTAAAGGCGTTCCTTTCAGGCCAATTCGTTGTTAAAGGCACGTTCCTTACATCATAACCCTAAACCCTAAACCCTAAACCCTAAAACCCAATGTCAAGCAAGAAGCCCTGTTGTGTTCTCAAGGTCGATTCCCGAGTCAGTAGGCAGATCGGGCTCTCGGACTCTGCTATATAGGGCTTAGGGTTTAGGGTTTAGGTTTAGGGTTTAGGGTTTGTTATTGTTACTATTCTTACGTTGATCAGTATTTAAAAAAACGTCTTACTACTAACCATGAATGATAACATACATAATCTGTGAGAGAGCGTTCGTGTGAATCTGAGCACTTCCTGCTTCAACTCTGTTGCTTTTCAGGCTTGAGGGTTCCGCCCCCGTTTGGTTAGGAGCTTTCTTTGCATTGGGTCGGTAGGGGGGTTCTTGAATTGAAGCTCCAGGGTTCTCGGTTTAAGTTTAGGATGCAGGTTTAGGCTTTGGGGTTGTCTCTGCGAAGATCCTTCGAAGGGCTTAGGGTTTAGGGTTCAGGGTGACAGAATCATTTTTGGAACACCCAGATCTGGGAATGTGCCCAGGCTGCTTGCCGGAGGAGAGATGCCTAGACCTGCAAAGCGAGTCCCATCCATGCAACCTCAATCCTACAGTCAGCCCTGAGAACGATCCAAGGTTCTTAGGGTCGGGGGCCGAGGAGGCTAAGGGCCTAAATAGGGCTTGGGGCTTAGGGTTCATAACCATTGAACCCTGAACTCCAAAGCCAGAAGACGAAGATCGGGGCAACGGAATGCTTACTCACATTATCTCCGTCCCTCAACAGGAAGGCACCCAGAAGCCTATGGACACCGAAACCCATAAACCCTGAATCCTAAACACACAACCCTTTGTTTTATCGAGCCCTAAATCCCTCCTTCCTGACTCCTGATTCCCATCCCGTTTACCCTGTAATGTTAGTGGAAACCCAAATCGTCAAATCCTTGAAATGCTCGTCCCAGGAGCCAATTGGCAGGCGGTGTCCGTGCCACAGATGGTGCCGGCAGCAGTAACCCAGAGGGAGGCAAACAGTGGCAAAAACCCCGCCATGGCGATTCAGTGCTTATTCCTTGAACTCGTGGGTACCTTGCTCAGGGAGATTTTACACCTCAATCCATCCCCAAGTAACCTACGTCCATGTTTAGCGGCCTTCCTGTAGAGGGGTCTATTATCAGGGTTGATTTGGCTAATAGGGGGAATGACAAGGGTGCGGGCTAGCGTTGTGGCTTTTGGGTTTGGGATTTACTTTCTGTTTCTGGAAGGCTCTGTCGCTGGATCCCCGTGAGAAAGGACACGTTCCAGGCAGCATAGGGGCATTAATGGCATTAGGGAGGTCCATGAAAGTATATCTCAGCAAATCTGGATAGGGACTTTCGTCCTGGCCCCGAATACAGCTTCACTGAAGCCATTGATGCAGCTCACCAGATGGGAAACTATTATCAACTACTCCGACCCTGAAGTGCAGCTGTGCTCAACAAAGCCTGTCGTCGGGGAGGGCTTGAAGTGTAGATCCTCGCTCTCTGCAGGGCGCCTAGCTACGCCGAAAGCCAAAAACCCTCAAGGCAGAGTCACCCATATAAGTTCTGGGGGGTCTAGGGCTAATGCAAAATATGATGGGTTGCTGTGTTCGGGGCTCTTACTTACAAACTCCTTGAGATCGGCCCTAACTAATCAGCATGCCGCTCAAAAGCCTTCAACCCCGAAGCCCCACCCACCGATCTGACATGAAAAACGACAAGACAGATTAAGCCCTGAACCCTAACCCGCAAACCTTAAACCAAACCCTAAACCCAAACCCCCCAGACCCTAAACTTTGAAGGCCCAAAACCCTCAAGCCCTAAACCCCCCCCCAAAAAAA